TGCGCGGCCGCGGGCCGCGCTGCGCTCGGGAATACCGAAGAGGGGCAGGAGGCGAGCGGCCGCTGATGTCGCAGTGGCGCCGCCGTGGCGTGCCGCGGCACCGCACTGCTCGGACGGGAGAGTCGGGCCGTGGCGCTGTGCACCGCGTCCCACTCGTTCCTTCAATTTCCAGGGAATAAACGGGACGGAGTCCGGGTGCTCGGTCCTCTTGCGGCTCGTGGACGCGAGAGAGCACTCTGCCGGTGAGCAAACATGCTGTCGGGGGTACGGCGAAATCTGCACCGCCTTTTCTATACGGGCTGTAAAATCTTGAGCCCGCCAATTACGCAACCAACAAACTCCGTGCGAAAAATGCGGGGAGGGGGAGGGAGTGCAACTGCGAAGGAGTGGTGCGTGCTGCCTCTTGTTCTAAACGGGAAAACCGAGGGGGCAACCACGTACGATGTTGGAGGACACAAGATTTCTTAAGACAAGAGATTTCGTTGGATTTCGTCCGTTTTTAACGCTAAACTCTGCCAGTTTTTGGCCTTTTTGGGGAAAGATTTCGGATTTCTAGAGACTTCTAGGGCTTCAGGGCACGCAGGATTTCTCGAGCGGTTGGGCCCTCGGAACGGAGAGTCCTGTGCCGTGTCACCGCGCCGCGCGCCAGCAACACCACAGCGGGCAGCCTGGCGCTGCTCGCCGTGCTCGCGGTATGCGGCACGCCGGGGCACCGCCAGACCACGGCGCCAGGGGATGAAAGTTGCTGGATCATAGCTCCAGCCTTCACTCCGCCCTGGGTGCGCGATGAATCTTTCAGGGCCTAACGCACCGGCGGCGCGTGGCGCGCGTGGCGGCGCGGCAACTGCCAGCGTGGGTGAGGAGGAGGAGGGGGAGGAGAGGGGGGGGGGGGCTGCCAGGGGTCTGAGAGTAGAGCCTCCATAATTCATGGCACCAGGTCCCCCTTATGTCGCCGCAGGTGTGAGAGGTGTCCTGCAGGCCCCGGGCGTATGTATCATGACACTGCGTCTCACCGCTGTTGCAGCATTCGCCCTGGGGCGCCATGGCAGGCCATGGGGTGCCCTGGGGCGTCACGCCAGCAAGGCAGACCAGCTGTCGGCTGGCGCGGCTCCGGGCAATGCCGCGTCATCATCGTCGTCCCGAATCGCTCACAACGACACGATAAAGACAGTGTGCATTTCCCGTTCAGTCTGTGTCGCGGACGCTTTTGAGACAGGACCGCTTTTGCTCGGTACTGTACGCTGCTCGCTGCGGTCCGCATGCAGTCTGCGCCAATCCCTGCAGCCCCAGCCACTTTGGCGGCTGCGACGTGCCTGCCGGCAGCCTGGCGCCGCGTCCCCGTCGGTCCCCGCTGCCTGCAGTGATGCGGCAGGTGCAGCGCCGACTTACTTCGCCCGCTTCGCTTCGCTCGTGGCTTTGTTGGCTTTGTCGGGCCGCGGGAGGGAGTGGCTCTCTCGGTGGGCCGGGCCCAGAGCAGGCGCGTAGGAACGTCAAAAAAGTTGGGGGGTCGTTGTATTGCATGTTGCCTACCTCGCAGGGGATTGACCTGGGGCAGTTCAGAAACTGGGGGGTCAGCTGACCCTCTGACCCGGTGTCTGATACGCCACTGGCCCAGAGTGCGTGCGAGAGAGATGGAGTGAGAGCCGCGGGGACCGAGGCGCACTCTCGGCAGCGAAGCACAGAGAAGCACAGCCAAGCCGATTCGAGGCCGGGCAAGAACGCGAACACGCCTGAAGGCCCTGAAGGAGAGCAGGTTGAGGCCAGCGGACGGTCTCACTTCGTTCCCACCTCCTTGGACTCCCCCGCGCGTTCTCACCCCAGACCGCAAGGCGGTAATATTACCATCATTTAGTGGCGGTGATTTGGAGTGTTGTTTCAAGAGCCCGCCGCTTCGGTTGCAGTAACACAGACCGCAGAACGCCCTGTCTCTCCTCTCACGCCGTGACGCCGCGTGGGGCCGCTGGGCCGCTGGGCCGTGGGGCCGCTGGGCCGTGGGGCCGCTGGGCCGTGGGGCCGTGGGGCCGCTGGGCCGTGGGGCGCCGTCTGACGGCCGTGAGGGCGGCTTATGCCTCGTGGGCGTCCGATCTGGAGCCAACTGGAGCCCGCCGCCGGGCCACGCCCAACCGCCCTGCCCCCCGCCAACCCCTGCCGGGGCCCCTGGGGGGCCGCTGGGCCGTGGGGCCGCTGGGCCGTGGGGCGTGGGCGTGCGGGCGCGGGCGGGGGGCGGCGAAGGGGCCCGGGCCTGGGGCCGCTCCTGGGTGGGGCCGGGGGCCCTGGGCCTGGGGCCCGGCCAGGGCGCTGGGCCGTGGGGCTGGGCCCGTGGGCCGCTGGGCCGGGGCGCGCCGGGCCGCTGGCCGTGGGGCCGCGGGCCGTGGCGCCGCTCCGTGGGGGAGTTATTTTCGTCGCCCAGGCCGAATAACTCACCATGGTGGACCATGGACACGACGAGCGCGATGCCATGGGCCATGGGCGTGGTCCAAGCGGACCGCAGTGAGGTGCCCAGGCCGGGCCGAGCTGGCGGCGGTCGCTTGAATTAGGTGCCGCAGAGGTGCGCAATCAATTCGGGGTTGTCGGGTCGTCCCTGTCCGCCGCTTCTAGCCGGGCTTAAGGCCGTAGGGCCAGGCCGAGGGCTGCCCGCCCCGCCAGGAGGCGACGCCGGCGACGCCTCATCCGGGCAGCGAGGCTCCCCTCACGCGGAAATTTATTTTCGTCGCCCAGGCCGAACTAACTCACCATGGTGGACATGGACACGACGAGCGCGATGACCATGGGCCATGGGCGTGGTCCGGCGTGACCGCAGTGAGGTGCCCAGGCCGGGCCGAGCTAGGCGGCGGCTTCGCTTGAATTAGGTGCCGCATGAGGTGCGCAAATCAATTCGCTTGTCGCTCGTCCCTGTCCGCCGCTGTACCTAGCCGGCGACTTTAATGCAGTTAAGGGGCGCGTGGAGGGCACGCGCTAATTACGCTCGAGAGATATCGGTGTGCCCCGCCGCGCCCCACCGCGCCTCACCCCGCCCCACCCCGCCACGGGACGCCCGCAAAGCTGGAAATTAATTAATTAATTAATTTTGCCGGTGGTGGCGCGCCGCCGCGCTGTCTTGGCAAAGAGACCGTATAACACGCGCGTCCTCCTGTCCGAGCGGTTATCCTTTGCGACCTGCCCGTCACAGTGGTGATGGATCGCCAGCTTGCTGACCCTGCCCCCCCCCCCCCCCCAAGCCGGGATCTCTGGAGTTAACTACTGGCCCTTCAACCCGCCCGCCCGCTCCCCAGCCACCCTGGGCGCGAGCCTGGGCGCGCGGGGCGGAGGCGGGCGGCAGGAGCAAATGAATTCCAGAACCCAATTCATTTAGTTTTTCTGCCGCGCGACTGATTGGCGATTAATTAAAGCAGGTTGATCGGGCCTTCGGTCCTGACGGCTTGGCCCTCGTCGCCAGGTCATTGGCCAATTACGCAAGCTGGCAAGCTGGGTGGTGGTGGTTGTTGTTGCTTGGACTTTTCCTGCTTGTTGTTTGGTTTTTTTGTGGTGTGGGTGGTGGTGGAGGGCGTGGCGGTGGCCGCACACCGAGCCTGCTCGCTGCGCTCGGCCTTCCAGAAGAACGTCCAATGTTTCCGTGCCGCTAACTTTCTTCGCGCGGAGAGGCCGAATCCGGGGATTCCTGCCGAGCGACGATGAATCAGCATTCCTCACGCACTTCCGGTCCCCGTGATGTGTGCTAAGTGTGTTTGTGCAGGTGTGCGTGCGTGTGCCAGACAGAGCCACGCGCCGAACACGCGACGGCCAGGCATACGCCTCTCGTATTACGCACGCGTGTCTGGGCAAAAGCCTCGACGGGCTTTCCTAATAGAGACCGAGTTTGGACCGGCACCAACTTTGCTCCAGACCCCTGACGGTGACGCACGCACTCACGCACACATTCACACACGCGCGCGCGCACACACACATACACACACGTGCGAGCGCGAATTTTGACGGAAAGTGGAAACAATGCTCGTGGTCCCGCTGCGCGCCCCGCGATACGCGCGGCAATTCCTAAAATCGGCCGGCCTCAATCACAGAGGAACGAAAAGCGGCCGAACGGCCACCGCGGCATTAGTTGCTAATGCGTTTGGCTGCATGAATAAATGCACAAGGCCGGGAGGCGCAAATAAATCTGGCGGCAGGATTTCGATCCCGTCTCGTCCCCCACCACACACTGGAGCCCGCAGGGCGCACCCAGCCACCTGCCCGGGACTCCGTTACCTGTCGAGCGGTACTGCGCTAGAGCCTGGGGGCCCCGGGCTGCTCGTGTCGTGCCATGCCATACCGTGCCGTGCCATGTTGTACCGACACTCGAGTTGAAAGACGGCCGGCGTTCGGCGCAACTACGGTAGTATCATGAACCACGCCGAGCGCGCCGAGCCCCCGGGGATCATCCCTGACGGCCGCCCACACCCGAGCCCGGCCGTGGCGACTGCCAATGCGTGCCGAGCAAATACGCAGTGCGCCTCCTCCCCTCCGCAGCCTCCGTCCTCCGTGTGCACAGCGCCCCCGCAGAGCCCCGGACCGGTCCCGGATGACCCTAACGCCTTGGTTTCAGCGCGGCGGGACACAGTTGGCACGTCCGCGCGTTATTCGGATTCGGATTCATACGGTGGGAACGGCGAGACGTGTCTCGACTCGACCGCGAGCTCGGCCGACATGTCCGGGGCCAGCAGATGGCGTTCCGTGGGACTCACGGGTGCGGAGCTACCGAGCGCACCCCGCAGCGCCACGGCCGTCCTTGAGACTTTGGATGCTGCTCTCAGACCGCGCCAGCCCGCCAGCCCGCCTGCCACGCCATGAGTGCGGATAGAACTTTGCATTATTTCACGGCAAGTTCACCAACACCCTGCGCGCGCCGCCTGCCGACGATCCGTCTTTCGCAGCTTCGCTCGCGAAAGCTCATTGTCCGCTCCGCTTTCGTCGCCCCCCCCCCACGGCGCCCCACGGCGCTCGGCGTCGCAGAGGCGCGGACTCACCGGTCCATGGAGATGGCCATGAGGGTGAAGACGGAGGCGCAGATGGAGAGCACGGCCACGAACTGGGACAGCTTGCAGTAGAGGCGGCCGAAGGGCCAGTTGTTGTGCAGCATGCCCACGTACGTGGCCGTCACGTTGAGCATGGACACCATGGCGTCGGCGATGGACAGGTTCACCAGGAAGTAGTTGGTGACGGTGCGCATGCGCTTGTGGGCCAGCACGATCCAGATGACCATGATGTTGCCGCAGGCCGCCACAATCACCTGCAAAAACAACAACGATGTCAAAACATTTATGCTGGAGTGCTTCTTGTTTCTTCCGCGACTTGTTTTCGTCTGGCGACTGGGCCGCTGCTAGATCAGCGGGGCTGCATCATAAATCAAAATGGCCATCGCATCGGCGGATGAGAGGGAGGGCGCTGCAGGGCGGCGGGGCGGGGGGAGGGGCGGCAGGCCAGGGCAGGCCGCGGCCAGCGCATTGCGGTGCCGCGGAGGAAAGACGCGCTCGCTCGATTGGAACGCTGCTGTCCACTCCAGGGCCTCCTCAATGTAGAGCGGCACGACGGCGCCCACTCAGGTTGAGGCCCGAAGCTCGGAACCCAAAGCCCCAGACGGAGAGCTCAAAGCCCCAAGCGGTTTATGCCGGCAATACCGGGCCACGGCCAGACGCGCCGCGAGCGCTAGGAGCAATAACGCTACGCGACGGGGGACGGGCCCACGCGGAGACGACAAGAGGAAGTCGCGGAAGTTACGGAGGCTGCCAGTGAACCGACGGCGGGGACTATGCCTGGACGCTGATGGCGCAGCGAGCAGCGAACAGGGAGGTCATGAGCCAGAGCCGTCGCCCCGCGTCGCCCCGCGTCGCCCCGCGTGTCCCAGCCCTCCAGTTCGGCATTCCGACGAACCACTCGTGCGGCGGAGGCCCTTCAGGGGCGGCACGGCGACGACACCAACCTCACGACCAAGGCAGCGGCGTAGTTAAGCGACAGCCCCACCCCTCCCCATTCGACCTTAACTGGCAGTTCGCAGTGTGCCGCCTGTCCCTCCGCCAGCCAGCTCGGGCGAGTCCAGGCTACGCCACTGAATCGAGATGTCCTGCACGGCGAACGCAAAGCACTATTCGTAGCCCTCTCGATCCGTTTTCAGCGAGAGACATGGAGCAGGTACACAATGATAACCCACCGCCGCCCCGCTGACTGCTGCCCGCCGCGGACCGCTCTCGGCGACATGGGAACTGGCCCACGTGCGCCGGGACCGGGCGGGACGGTCCAGGTGAGGGCGGCCGCGGCCGCGTCGTGTTTTCGTTGGACGGCGAGGCTCATTCCAAACAGCGCTTTCGTCGCTCCGTCTCTCTCGCACTCATGGGCCGTTGCGTGGGGGTGTGAGGGAGACAGAGCGACGATGCACTGCACGCGAACCTTACAACCAATTTTGAGCACATTTGCTTTGTTCTTTAGATCGTATATTACGATACGAGGTATTTTCTTTCTGAGCTTAGCGCTTGAAATGCTTCACCTACAACAAACTATTTTCTTTCTTCAATGGTTAGTTTGTAAGGTTTCGACAGCGTGTTTGTAATCAGGCTTATTACTGCCGCGCGAGAAGGATATCGTTTTGCCGCTCCGTCTCTCCCCTCGCACTAGACTATTTCAGCGGAGCCGAGAAGAAGAACAAAAGGCGAGCGGGTCACTTCCGGTTGGGTCACAACAAACAGACGACGCGTTGGTTTTCTACCCACCAGCGGTTCCAATAACATGTTATTTTCACTCGGATGAGTCTCAAATATTGTGTGTAAGCTTTAAAACGCCGCGTAACTTTCAAAAAGAGATTTTCGGCGATGTTTAAATCCTCTGTTGTCTGTTTGTTGTGACCCAAGCGGAAGTGGCCCGCTCGCCTTTTGTTCTTCTTCTCGGCTCCGCTGAAATAGTCTCTTCAACAACACAACGGCTGGCCCATGAGTGCGACAGAGACAGAGCGACGTGACTGTTCGGAGGCAGTGGACCAGCTGGCCGGGCCGAGGGCCGGGCGCGTTGGGAGGGTGAGACGTGCGAGGTGCGCGACGCGTCCGGATCCGTGCCGAGTCCGTGCCGAGCGTCTTCGAGTGCACTATCGCTGTCGCCGAGGTGAGGCCCTGAAGAGGAGCAAGGAGAGAGCACGTCCCCAGCTGCCGCGCTGCCGGCGTTTCGTCATCGAGCCGCGCCAGGTTTCGCACCATGGACATTGACGCGAGAGCCCACGACAACGATAGCTCGTCGAACTCCGAATGGAGGGAGGAGTCGTGGTTCATTTTTTGATTTCCTGTGCTACCTGAAAATTTAAGAACTATTTCTTTCTATAGCAAAGTAAATTAGTCTGTCCTAAGTATGCTCAAAATACTTCGTAAGGTTTTAAGCGTGTGACGCATAGGACCACTGTCACCGCTCAAACTGGCCTCGCGCGCGGACGAGGTTCCGCGAGTCGCCGCGAGATGGCGCTGCGCGCGCCGAGCCGCCGCACGCTCGCGGTGGCGACCTAGGTTAGTGTAGTAACTAGTTTGTAAGCAATTTCCCTGGACACATGGTGAGTTAAATCTAAAGGTTGGAAAGCTTTCGGTTTCCCTTTGAGTGATTGCAATGGTGGTTCAGCGGGGGTGTTAGACGACCGCGGCGAGCGCCGCTACGGTTATTCCCCGCGGAGAATGAGCACCTGCAACGGTCGTTCCCTCCAACGGCGTGGCGCCCCACCGTCTGCTCCTCCGGTCGACTCCTACTCCCCCGCCGACGACAAGAATGCGACAACGGGATCCTGGGCCCCTCAACCCGGGTGGCGACCGTGCCGACGGTCACGCGGTTACACCACTTCGGACAACGCTTGCGCAGGTACTTAACAAAAACAGAGCTGCGCGGCAATGAAGCAGCGTCGCCAATGGCACCCTTTTCCAGGACCAAACGGCACCCGTTCCCCGTCCTGCAAACGGGTGCCCCGGCACCCAAAGGATGCGTTACGGTCTTGAATCTTTCAAGCCCGAGTCGTCTAACCGTGCAGCCTAGCCGAGCCGAGCACAAAGTGGAGAGGGGAAGGGACGGGGTTGAGGGAGGGCATGGCCAGGGCAGGGCGGCTGCAAGATGTGTCCGCTTTGGTCAGGAGCGCACCAAGGTACAAGCCGTGTTTGCCGAAAACGAAACGCGAAAGTGCGTCAGACGCAACGCAAACGCCAGCAAGGGGAAGAGCCTCGCATGTCTTTGAGAATCGTTTGAGAACGCAGCTCCAACATGCTCGTTTTACGCCCGGACGGGCCTGCATCACTGCAGAGACGCCATGGCGAGCGCACCTCCTCGGCAGGGGCGGTGGGGCCTTTCTTTGAGAGGAAGAAACCCCGCCCCCCTTATGCAAGCCAGTGCATCACAGTAGCCTCCAATCAGTGCGACAAGGACAACACGATGTGGAATGACATGAGGGGCCGGGACGGGACTCGACGCACGCGGTAGCGCACACACCATAACGCCCAGTGGCGTGGCACCAAGGCCCTCCACGTATGCACACAGACACCCAAGCGCGTACGCAGACAGACAGACAGACATGAAAGACAGACAGACAGACAGACAGACCGGCAGGCAGGCATACTCACAGGCAGGTCGACAGACGGACAGCGAGAGGCAGAGCGCGCGGGTACTCGTCGGAGCGGACGATACATCCATGGTGATAACGCAGGTGGGCGGGGCCGCGGGGCCGCGGGGCGCTCGGCGGGGCGGGAGCGGTGCCCTGAGTACGACAGGACAGGACCGACAGGACGACGCACTGACAGAACTCGAGCCTCTCTGTCGCAGCGACGCCCTTCAGCATGTCATCCGAGACGCGAAATCCGGAGCGAATTGTCATCGGGCGGTGGCGGTGAGTCCCCACGCCCCACGCACGCAAGCTGCACAGCCACCCTGCGTCCTCGTCAACCTCGTCAACCTCGTCAACCTCGTCAACCTTCACGGTGGCGTCGGCGGCTGGGAAGGCACAGCGTTCGGGCTAAATCCACCGCGAAGGCCGAGCCAAGGGCCAAGCACCCCACCGGAGACGCCAGGCGAATATCGCGACGAACGACTGCGGGAAAGTTCGGCCAGGCGGTGGGCTTTTCGTGTGGCGAGCCCCTTACGCGAATGCGCGGCCACCGTGAACAAAGTACCGCTACAGTGTAGGGCATCTGGCATTACAGGAATGCGCGGCCATTCGGAAAGTTTGCTGTGGGCGGAATGATACGTCTGCCGCCAGACGCTCCGGGACGAGACGGGATGACGAGGCCGAGCCGAGGCCGAGGCCGGGCCGTGCGGGGCGGAACACGGGTCGAGTACCACGACGCGACAGACGCGCGGTGCTCGGCGGGGCTTTGCGGCCTCGCCGAAGTGCTCCGTTTCTAGAGTTGCTTTCCGCGGAGCCGAGCAAGGGCTCTGAGGCTCGGGACGAAGGAAACACTCACCATGCCAGCAAAGAGTGCGCTCCAGAGGACCTGCCTCCACATGGGCAGCACGTAGGTGTGGTAGTCGGTGTCGTTGTAGGGGAAGCCGGTGGAAGTGAGCTCGCCGTCGAAGATGGGCGACATGACGGGCGTGGTGGTGACGTTGCCCGCCCAGGCGTCGGCCAGCGACATCACGGTGTCGTTGTCCAGCCCCAGCGCCGCCAGCGCAGGGTCCTCGACGGAGCCGTTGCCGCTGGCCATGGCGGCCTCCATGGTGGAGGCGGGGCGAGGCGGGGCCGGTGAGACGCGCAAGTGCTCTACAGCGCGGGCCGAGGCCCGGGCCGGGGGGGAGACACGCTCCGCATGCTGCTGGTCCTGGTCGTGCTGGTGGTGCTGGCGGTGCTAGCGGTACTGGCGACTGGCGCGAAGCCCTGCCCGGCGCCGCGGCGGCCCCGCGCCTAGCGTCCTGGCAGTCACGGCCTCACGCTGCGACGCGCCACGAGGTGCTGCGATTCCTTATCGCTAAGGAGCTGCGATAGCCTGGACGCGGCGCCCGCTCAATCCACTTGAAGGGCGATGCGGCGGCGATGCGGCGGCGGTGCGGCACCTGTCAACACACGACACACCGGGAGTGAGGACTAAGGGCCGCATTCCGAGTGCAGAGCGGCGCAGGCCGAGGCGGCGACGGCGAACCCCACGCCAGGGGCCGAGGCATATGGGCCGTCCGGCGTTGCGTACCCAGCGAGGGTCTCGCTTGGAGTGCCTCCGCCGCCTTGGTTGATGCGATACCCACTGGCGGGGAGAGACGAACAATACACGGAGACTTATCGGCGTCGAGTGCACATCCATTAGGGTCATTGGATGCAGTCCTCTCTCTCATCCACTCTGCTGCCGGCGGCTGCCGGTCTCGGGGTATCAGACGAGACGAGCGCTTCGAGCAGCTTAAAGCGGCAATCGGCCCCTCGGTATTGGTGGTCCGGCGGAGATAAACGCGGCGCGTGCTTTGCGGAGGGTCATAGCAACGATGCAAACGGCGCGGCATCTAGCACTGCTGCAGTTCAGCAGTGCTTTTTCGTAAATGTGCAGAACCGAAAGACGCTCCGTACTTTCCCCTCTTAGCTTGAGAAGACCAGTATCGTCAATACACTGAGATTCCAAACGCTATGAGTACTCTGCAAACTCAACAGTGTACTCAGTACACTCTCTTTAGAGTGTACTCATGAGTACACTATCTTTAGCGTGTACTCATGAGTACACTCTCTTCAGCGTGTACTCACACGTACACTCCCACGAACGTGTACTCAGCTGCATGAATTGTGCCGACTTAAGCACACTCTCGTTAGAGTGTACTCAGGTAAGCACACTTTCGTTAGAGTGTACTCAGCTAAGCACACTTTCGTTAGAGTGTACTCAGCTGAGCACACTCTCACAGGAGTGTGCTTATGAGTACACTCCAAATAGAGTGTACTGAGCACTCTGTACAGTTTGCAGAGTATAGCACGTATGGTGTGATATCGCACCATACGTGCAATGCGATAGCCATATCGCACCTTAAGTGCGATGCGTCCCGAAAATGCCCTATGCTAATGCATGGGAATGGGGAGGCATCGCACTTCATGTGCGATGCTTTTGTATCGCACCAAATTGACGCTATACTCCTCGCGTTTGGATTCTCAGTGTAGCAAAACTACACTTTAATTTACTCTGTGTGTTCTTATTGGTTGTTACGAACTGTCGACGGGCGTTAATGGAACTCTCCGGTCTGGACTCAAGACTCACTTATCTATCTAAACTGGACGAACGCTGCTTCCAGTGCAGGCCCCTGTCCACCAGCAAGCGCCCCTACCGATTCACCTTGAAGGCGCATTGACAGTCCCGCGTCGCGAACGCGTCGCGAAGCCCTCGAGGCTCTCGACCCCGTTCAGGTTAAGTGCCCCGCCCCGCCCCGCCCCGCCCCGCCTCGCCCTGCCCCGCCCCGCCCCGCCCCGCCCCGCCCGCCCCGCCTCGCCTCGCCCTGCCCCGCCCTGCCCGACTCTCACGGGCATGTCAGCACCCGGCCGGCGGCGGCCTGTCCAATAAGGTCTTGGCCTCGGGCCGCCGATCATAGTGGAGGTAAAGGCGCCCCCCTTCAAGGCGTGCCCTTCAAATAAATGTATTTTCCGCCCAGGAGCAGGGCATGCCGCCGGCCAAGGCCCCGGCCATGGCCCCGGCCATGGCCCCGGCCCGCACGTCGAGCACTTAGAGCCGACCCGTCCGCCCCGATCGCTGTCCGATTTTACGCCCAATTCGCAATGCAAATCCAGGGCCGCGGCGCACAGCCTGGCAGCGCGCCGATCCCGAGAAGAGGCGTTTCGGGGCAGGTAGACCGTTTAGCGTAGCCGTATAGCGGAAGGAAGCCCACTTTACTCAAAAGCGCAGCACAGCGCGGAACGACCCTTTGATTCAGCGCTGATGACGGGGGATAAAATGGAGATGACTTTTTGTTCTGTCGCGAACGCGGTCACACTTTTTATGTGCCGAACGAACCGTGTGAGCTGGTTCGGATCGCAATCAGAGAGAGCCCGTAGTAAAAAGGGCAAACGAAGCGGGGATTCAAACCGAACGCGGTGACAGCTAGCTAGCTTACCACAGAACACGCTGATATTCTTTGATCTACCATAGCAGCCTTTGGGTCCACAAAAAATATGTGTGATCCACCCCTTTTAAAAAAAGTTCTGGTTCAAAGAAGAAATCCTTTGGATGAAGATTTGATTACCAAAGCAAGATGAAGATCCTTTCCCGAGTGTGTTTCAGCGCATTTCTCGCCGTTTCCAATTCCCTGTCCGTCTGTTTGAACGGTCTCTGCCGTAACTTCGGCCGATCCGTAACGTATCCCTCCCGGGCTGGCCACCGAGAACCACTAATCTTGCACAGACACAACAGCACCGCGCCAACAGTGCGGCACCCCTGCCGAACAGCATGCGAACCCAGTCCCAGGCCGAGGGTAGGAATCCACTGGAGCGTCTGTTCGGGAGGTATCCAACCCGCCCGGCTGCTGCCGGGGGCTCGGGGCACGGACGACAAGGTGAGGCACGATGCGGCCAGGTGGGCGGGGCGGGCCAGGGCCGGGCCAGCCATGAGATGCTTGGCAATCGGGCTGGTTCACCGTTGCGCTCATTTCAGAGGGTGAGGTGCGGTTCGGTGATCGAGGGTGACTGGCCAGGCGAGTGGGTGCCACGTGCTATGCACCACCTGTTCGCGGTGAAGGGGCGATCGGGGCGGGGCGGCAGCGGGCGGCAGTGCCGCCCCACGTTTCCTCGATAACTTGCTGCCCGCTCTTGCAGGCTGATGCCCTGCGTGGTGTAGCCTCGCTCTCCCTCTCACACACGGGACGCCCGTGCGACAGAGAGAGAGAGTTTTTTAGTTTTTACAAGTATTTATTGGGGGGATTTAATTTACAATTAGGGCCAGGAATGAGTTAAATTTTTTGTCAATAAATTGTGCATGCGGTGTTCATGTTATTTTTTATATCAGATGTTTGTGGTGCGGTTTGTACAATTTTGTGATATATTTTTTTAAATTTAAGTTACATATCTAGATAAAAATATGGAAATATAATTTATTTTTGAAGAATAATTCAATTAAAAAAAGTTTTAAAAGTTCATTTTTTTTCTTCTTTCTTTTCTTCTTTTTTTTGCAAGTATTCTTGGTTGCTTGTAGGATCTTCTTTTTGTTTCTGTTTTTGTTCATCTTGGGGTTTCAGTTGATTTGAAAGGTTTGGTGGAAATTCAAAGTGGTGTTGGTTAGATTGGCGTAGCTTTCTTCAATTGCCAATCTGTGCTGCAATCTTCTTTTGAAGAGCATAAGATAGTTTGGTTGAGGAGGATTTGATTTCTTGATGAGGGTCATGTAGGTCCTATAAATTGTGCTCTTTGCCAAGTTTACGAGGAAATTTGCGTATCTTGAAGCTGCAGTTGTAGAGGGAAATCCAGCAAGGGCTTGTTGGTAGTCTAATTTTTTTCCTTGATTTATGCTCTTGGTTTTTGAGGATACAAAAGTCCAGATGGGGATTGTGATTGGGCAGTTAAAGAACATGTGGGCACAATTGCCTTCCTGATTGGGGCACCAAGGACACTTTGGAGAAGGTATTATTTTCCAATCATAAAACTTCTTTGGCGTTGGTAGGGCATTGTGGAGTAATCTCCAAGAGATGTCCCCATCCCTTTTATCGGTGGGTTGAGAGTAGATGGAGATCCATGGAATCTGTTTCTCTGTCCAAGGTGTTGAGCCACTGACTTCAGGCTTGGTAAGCAGAATTTTGAGGGATTGGATGTAGTTTTGTTTCTTGGATGATGAAAAGATTTTGTCTTCTTCGCTGATCTTGTACTGGGTGATTGAATCTTGGGACTCTTGTTGCTCTTGAATTTTTTTGTTGAAGAAGTTTTTAATTTCTTGAAAATTTCTGTTGAGTCTTCTTTGGGCTGGGCTTGGTAATTGGTCTACAGGAGGCATTGTCCAATTCCCATTTGGCATGAGTTGTTGCAGATTGTTGAAGTTAAAATATTTCCAGTCTGGAAGTATTTTCAATTGTTCTTCTGAAATTATGGCACTTCCCTGGAGTGGGGTGGTGGCCAAGATTTGAGGGGAAAGTGAAGAATGGACTATTTTTGGCTTTAAGTTGAGCCATGCTGTTAATAAACTATGATAGAATGGTGAGAGATTGGCTCTTGCAATTGGGTCGAATTTCTGGTTGAAGAAATGCTGTGGAGGAATTTCACCATAGCGGGACAGGTTGTATTGGTGAAACAGATAAGTTGGCTCCTGGCTCAACAGATTTTGTTGGATGTCATAAGCTAGCTTGAGGCGTAGAGAGTGGATCCTGGCTTGAAAGTTGGTGAGTCCCACTCCACCCAAATCCATTGGGGCGAAGACAAAGTTGTGATGCAACCAATGTTTTCCTTGCCACACAAAATTGATTGATATTTTATGGACTTCATCAATAAATTCTTTTGGTGGTTCCAAAACGTTGAGAGTATGTATGAGTTGGGCTCCCGCTAATTGGTTACAAACTATTTTTCTTCCATTGTAGGATGTCATTTTGACGAACTGGGACCACTTGTTGAGGCAAGCTTTGTATTTTGATAGCAGACATTCCCAGTTTTTATCTTCCCATTGTTTTTCATTTCCAATGTACACACCCAAAAATTTCATTCCTTGGGAGTTCCACTGACAATTTAGGGGAGTTTCAGTGCGGTTTTTCCATTTTCCACAGAAAAGACCTTGTGATTTTTCTTGGTTTAGTACTGCTCCAGATTGTTGACTATAGATGTTGAAGGCTTCTGTGATTTCATTGAAATCTTGATTGCGTGTGATGAAGAAGGTGATATCATCAGCAAAGGAAGTACTTTTGATGGAGATGTTGGTTCTTGGTATTTTGTATCCTTGCAGGTTGATGAGGCAGTTTGTCATTATAAGAAATGGCTCGATTGAAATGGCATACAGTGGCCCTGCAATGGGGTCACCTTGTTTGAATCCTTTCTTGAAATCGAAGGGA